ACCCACACACCCACACCCACCCACCCACCCACCCACGCACGCACGCACGCACGCACGCACGCACGCACGCACGCACGCACGCACCCACGCACCCACGCACCCACGCACCCACGCAGGCACGCACCCACGCACCCACGCACCCACGCACCCACGCACCCACGCACCCACGCACCCACGCACCCACGCACCCACCCACGCACACACACACACACACACACACACACACACACACACACACACACACACACACACACTGATGCATTGGTGACTGTGTGGAGCACAACCTTTCATGTCATGATGATGAGATGAGATTTTTGTACCGTGTATGCCAGACCGCAGGAATGGCATACAAACACAAGATGAGATGATCCGTAGGGGGTATGGTTTCGGCCCCTCGCTACGCCAGACACAAAGGAATAACGTAGCACGAAATGAGATGAAGATGCAAGTGACATGATGCCTCACCAGCTGGCCACGCCGGACCCCGGGTGTGGGCAAGCAGGTACGTTTTCCTGGGGTGCAGGGGAGAGCTTCATTGGACGGAGCTCCCCTGCACCCCCTCCGTCCCCCTGCTATGGCAGTGACGCCTTTCCAGGATGAATAACCTGTTTCCACACACAGAATGCCCTCAGAGAGGGCTAAGCTTCGGATCTACTGACAATCTAGTGATCGCAGAAGCAGACAACGGTGCACATGCCCTGGCGCTCGCACTGCCTAAAACCTGTTTGACAACCCCCATGGAAAACGAGAAAAAGGTTTTAAAGTGAGCCACCACTTGGTTTTGAGTGGATGTGGGTCCTGTCCACAAAGTGGTGGATAAGGGTCCAGTCCACCTCTTGGAAAACGAAAAATGTGGCAGGTAGTTTGAGGCGAGAGCGGGGAGGGTATGTGCGCCTGCCCACGCCCCCGACAACCTGACAAAACACGACCTCAGGCGGGAACATACATCAGCTCGACACCCGTCTCTCGGAGACATCGGATCAACACCAAGAGAAATTGAATCGGGAGGAAAACCCTTGGCTCGCACGGACCGTCACATCGATCCTTTGTCGTTGTCGGCACGCCCATGCTTGCCCCTTCTACTGTGGTCCGAGCAGCTGTTTGCCTTTGCTGCTCTTCTCAGCCCTTCTGCGAGTAATGTTGCAAGCGCACGCACGATAGTGAGAGAGCGAAAAGCGAATGAACAAGCGAGTTTATGAAGTGACTTGCATGAACAACTAAACGAAGTGCGTGAGTGAACGAAGTGAGCGCCCCAAAGGAATATACCAAAAGGGTGCGCGAATTGCAATTATGTAATTGCGCATTCGTTTCTTTGTTCGCGCTGGCAGGCCCGCCTGCATCCTATACCATTGCATGCCTCCGACCAGCTGCTCAGGCTTCGCAACTATACCTTCCTGATGCGCGCCATCCCTCCGTCCAGCCTTTGTGACATGGTGTGTCGTAAGCCCATTTCATCCCAAGTCGATGAACGAAAAGGAAGAGGCGGTAAACCGCAGGCCGGCAAAGCTCTTGAGTATCTCAAGCAAGTCATCGATGCAACAACAAAGCCCGAAACCCGAAGGAGGAGACACGACAAACCGCTGTGTTGCCCTTCTTGCATCTGAGTATGTTGCAAGCTTTTGCGCAACTTAACAGCATAGTTGCAGCCTGTTGCATGCTATGTGCCCTTTTGTTCCATGTCAAGCCTCAATTGCCGTGATGTTGCGAAAGTTGGTGTGCGGGTGGCAGCTGGGGAGCTTGAGGAGTATGAGCTGCACAAGAAGATAGTTCGAGTCTTAGACATGTGTGCCAAGTGCAGAGGGCTTCTGGGCAACGGTCGAGTTCAATTTCAAAAGGTTGCCCCATGAGGCGGTCATATCACGCTCAACTGCGTGATTCCAGCATCCTGCAGTCTTACAATCTCGGAGGCTTTGGTAACTTGTGTGGGGAATATTCGGAATAGTCTGGTCCTCACTAAGGTTGCAAGCGACGAGCAGTCCGACACCGATTGCGCATAGGATTCACAACTCATGGCGCAATATGCATGAATTGCTCAATCATCGGGCAGTTCAGCAGCCAAGGACCAAGTCATTCAAAGATGCTTTGGAGAAATTGTGGCAACAGCGCTTGCCCCGGAACCAATTCAGCATCATGGCAACGCCGTTTTCAAGAAAAAGATGGCATGGCCGTGTGGTAGTTCAAGATAAGTGCGAAAGACGGTTGTTGGCAGGATGGAGGGCGTTCAGCAAGTGGTGGTTCAAACTCAGTCTATTCTGGAGGCGCTTCGCAAGATGGCATGGATACCCTGAAACATGGCAACATGTGCAGAAGAACAAGAAAAGTTAACTTTTCAGAAGGCTGTGAGCTAAAATGCTCTTGCTCTGCGAGGCTCGCTCTCAGGGCAACTGGTCTGTCGAGGATCCATCGGAAGAGCCGGCTGCAGCCTTCGCGTCGGCACCTCAAAACCCAACTGCACTTCCCAGGCAATAAGTTTAGTCGCACTCAGATGAGCATCAGCATGGCGATTGCGGATCTCAGTGCTGTCGCTATGTTTATTCGTCAGGCGCCAGCACATGGAGACTGAAATGCAAAGGCACATCGAGGCCCCGCCACTAAGGGAGGTAAGGAAAGATTGTGGCTGTCTTAGTGCCTGACCGCTGTGGTTGAATACAGGTTCGGGAGCAGATCAAGTTGTGCAATGCTCAGCTGCGGGAAGCAGACAATGCTTTGCCGGCACGTTTCAGAGCCACTCCGGCACAACCCGGTGGCCAAGAAGCGTGAATTTGCGTACTTGATATACTTGCGACCACCGATTGCCAGGCGATGGCAGAACAGCACGTCCAACTGACCCAGTTGGGTGCAGCCACAAATCGCATGTGACATTGGAGATCTAACGGGCTTGCATGTGTAGCTTTGTCGCTTTGCGTATGCTGTGGCTTACAAGAATGCAGCCGTAGTTTGCAGACAGAATCCCTGTATCCAGAGAGGTGCTCAGCCTGAGTCTTGTCGTCGAATTGTAGAGGCATCCCGGCCATGGCTGGGGAGTCTACATGGCAGCTGCAGCAGGACGACCTCGGGTGCACAGCACAATCGCGCGCCGCACCTTGTTTGATCAACGGTGCATAGGCATGATTCGGTATGATGCCATCTGAACTAAGTAAAGATTCAAGGGCAAATGGCCTTGGAGGAGCTTCGACAGCTTCGCGACAATCTGCTGCAAGATTTGAGCGGGCTGCTTGCACAGCAGACGCAGACCATTGAGAAGATCGTGAAAGAGGCTCCGCCAACAAGACAACTGGTTGATGCCGGAATGCCATCTCCTGCCAGGGGAGGGAAGCGTCGAAAGCGACGGTGGAAGGTTCAGCAAAAGAAGTGCATCTGGGCCAAATCGTTACCAGTCGCGTTTGGCAGACCAATCAGACCATAACCTTAGTTGAATCACCTCTGCGATGTAGTTTTGCGCAGTTCAACGGTAGCAACAGACGCTCACGCTGTGCATCGAGTCCTTCAAGCCGAGCCCTGTTGGGCTCCGCGCAGGATTGTCAGGGTGAAAGAATGGGATGACTGCATAAATCAAATGTCGTTATGGTGATAAACTCGGTTTCCGAACCATGCTAAGCCGACCAGGGGATGATCAGAGTGTACGCTGTAGAGAGAAGAGCCATGAGAATACCCAATGGGACACCACAGACAAGTTAAAAGTTACGTGGGCATGCCCTGCTGTATTCCACCCAAGCCAAACCTCTAATGCCACGCCTGTTCGAGGGTTTTTTTTTCAGGAATTGGTATGCCACGTAACCTGTTGCTTTGGACTGGGTGGGGTGGGACTAAGTCACTGGTCCCTACCAAATCGGAACCCCAAGGCCGCAGAACCCTTGTATCGCAACCGGCTACTCCGTTTACAAATTCAACAGTTTCCAAACGTGGAAAATCTCAGTTGCAGTATGGCCATTTAACGCCCAAATCACGGAGCAAAGAGGCATAAAGCTAAAGCCTAACCCCACCCATGTTTTTGATTGGGTTTCGAGCCGAAGTCTTTGTTTGGTTTGCTGCACTGAACTCCAGTCATTGAGAGACATTGCTTGCTGGCCGCTTCGGAACTGGAATTTGTGGGCTTCAACAAACCCTGCTCACAACACGATAAGAACGCTTCGTCGATTCAAGCGCCGGGGTTGCAGTCGGAGGTTGTGGTAGGGGCAGACGGAGGGTGGAGCGGGGGGTGGATTGAAGCACCAAGATGAAGCTTTGTGGTAGGTTTTGGTCCTCACCTGTAGAGTTTTGCGTTTTTGGGTTTGGTTGAGGGTTTTGGGGCATCGGTATCAGCTTTGGGGGTTCATAGCCTGATCGGCTGGCCAGCCGACACCGAACTACGAAGTTGTGTCTTAAGGCGCGCGTGTGCAGTTCGAGTTTCGCAAATGTTTTCATTTCGTTTCGCCGCCTTAGGAATGCACGCAACTTGAAGATCACGGAGAATCCCATCAACAAGCCTGTCAAGGAGACAAGGTTTGCCGATCACATGCCCGCAGCCAGGCTGCCTTCGAAGACTAGAAAATTGGCCCGCGCAGCGCGGCCTGATACGACACTGACTTGTAGTGTTCCTCCGGCTGTGTCAAGCCTTGCCGGGCCGAGGTGGACCATCCGATGAGCGTTCCCGAAGAATCAACAGGCAAGGCCCACACTTGTCACACTTGTGTGACATAGCCTAGACAGTATTTAGTTGCTTACTTGGTGAAGGTTGGACTTGATGACATGGGGCCACAAGACTCAGATTCTTAAGCGACCCCCTATATTGCCCACATCACTATGCGGGGTTCTTGCTTTTTGGGGCAGCCCTCCGCCTCACGCCGGCGCGCCCGCCCGCCGGCGCGCCCGCCCGCGCCGCACACATGACGAAATCCTCTCTCGGAACTAGAACAAAAGATGACGGGACCCCTAGATGTCCCCCGAAAATCGTAGGCTGTACAAAGCTTGGTCTGTGCAACGGTTTTTTTGGTTTGCGACTTTGCTTTGGAGTGAACTTCAAAGCTTCTCTTCCAAGGGTCTGCAAAGCTTGCTACATTTTAAGGGGCAAGCACCCCTGGGCGGGCAGCGCAGACAGAAGCGCGAGGAGAGTTGACAGTTTTTATGCGTTTTAACGGCTGCAGCCAATGCCGTTGCAAAAGGGGGGGGGGCACGCGCGCATGCGCGCGCGAGCGCGTGCCGGGGTCTACAACGTCAACGCCATGACCTTTTCAAGAGCCTCGAAACCTGAATACCTTAAAACCCAAGCCACAACCTTCAAATGGCTAAGAATGCCTTCGAGCCCAGCTTCAACCACGCCACAGGGACCCGCAGCCACGCCGAGGGAAAGGCTATCCACCTATGGCCCGTCATGCCAGGCTGTCGACCCCAGGCTGGAGCCGCTGATGCTGATGATGCGAGCCTCCGAACGCCGAAACCAAGACCGCTGATGCTCATGATACGCATGTCGGGTCCCGGACTGGGGCCGCTGATGTCTCGTGATGCGCGCCCTCTGGGAGTCGTCCATGGCTACCCCAAAATTACGCAAAAAACGCTGGGTCTGCACATGCCGTCCGACCTATTTGTGTGTAATAGGAGGTGGGGGTCAGGGTCGATGCATTGGAGCCCTTCATCAGGGTGGGGAAAGGTGGGCAGGGCCGGGGAAATGGAGGGCGGTTTAGGAGAGGGTGGCTTGGGGGGACCCAACAAAGACTTCACGGATGGAATCGGCAGATAATCTGTCATAACAAAGATCATGTCAGAATGTGGACGTATGTTAGAAAACATGCGAATCCTTTTCCAAGGCCGCCATGAGCGCATCGTGAGCGCATGTTTCCTCTAACTCTACAATCGCTATTTCCTGCATACATTTCATACAGGACCTCTATGTCCTCCATATTCGAAAAGGGTACCTCTATTTCCTCTGAGATTTCACAAGACACCCTCGATTCGTCTGTATTTGAAGATTTTTCCCAAGACAAGTAAAGGGTTCAACGCGTTAAGCATTGTCAAGGGAGTTTGAAGAACAGCTGAGTAAGTAGCAGAAAATGTTGACCAAGGGCCAAGGCCGTCTATGGAATCATGAATCTTGAGTGACTGGAGTGGTGGTTGTTTGGGGAGGTAAAGGGGTTGATAGACCTCGTGGTGGATACAGGAGGACAATCGAGAACCAGCTAACCACAACAAACCTGGCAGGTGAGACTCGTGGAAGCATTCCCTGTTTTCGTATTCCCAGGTGGGGTGCGATCAGCAGATTGGGACGACGAAGACACGGAGGTGTTCCTGGGCGAGTCAACTTGGTACATGTTTGGCTTTGCTCAAGCTGCTGGTGCAGCGATTTTCAACTAAGGTTGCAGGACGTCGTGCCAACTGTCCGTGTGGCCCCACCAGGCTCGGTGATGAAAGAAAAGCTTTGTCAAATGTTCGTCTTCCGTGTCGATATGTTTCGATATCACTACGGCAAGACCGGCAGGTCCGAATGCATGTGATTCGTTTTCTCGTTCGGTCGGGCATTGGTTGTCGGCTTTAGAGAGGAGATTGCTCGTGGTGTCCGTCCCTTTCATGTTCTCACGAACCACTGCCGCCAATACCCAAGCCCGGTGTGCTCCGAGAGTCAAGAAAAGACTGACCTTGTAGCTTGGTGGAGCAGATTGCGTGCGGCTCCCGCAACTCTGCATGGTACCATCTCATCACGATTTCGTCGGCACAGACCACAACACCGGTGGCGATAAGCGCGTTGGCAACAGCTGCATCAGTATCAGCATCCTCGTCCTCAACCACGTCTTCGCCTTCATCCTCGTGTTGACAATCAGCAGCAGCCCAGCCTAGCAGCCCGCAACCAACAAAAGCACAACCCGGCCAATCACCATAGACACCAATGGAGCTTGGTAGAGCGTCGCTTGCCATGTGCCTTGGAAAGTTAACTTGCAAGTACAGGATGTTGCTTCCCATCTACATGTGTTCATGTCTAGGCTTTCTTGCGCTGGCCTGACAAACTGCTTGTGGACGTTCCGGTTTCTCATCTCGCTTGCTCTCCTCCTCTTTCTTTCTCCCTCCCTCCCTCCTTGTTTGTGCTACAAGTAAGTAGTGCTCCGGCTTATAACAAGGCTACCGCGCACGCAAGTCTCTCTCTCTCTCTCTTTTTCTCTCTCTCTCTCTCTCTCTCTCTCGCTCGCTCTTCTGGACTCGCTCCCCACTTTTCGGCGTGGTCGACAGAGCGTTTCACGGGTGAACGGTGATTTCCGTTCTCCAGGCAAGGTGCAAGGAAAGAAGGACGGCTGGACGAGCGAAGAGCAAGGAGCTGGCGGAGGAACGGGCGCACTGGATCGGCCGGTGCGCAAGACGATTCTCCAGCATCTTGCCTGTCATTAGCCCGGGTGAGTCATTGATGTCACTGTTGAGTTTTCTGTGAGATCTTAAGAGAGGGTGGCTGAAAAGCATTTCTGTCCGGAACTGTTGGCCAGAGGCGACAGGGCCGCTCTGTGAACAGAGCTTTTTGTATGCTGCAGTGGAGTACACGCTTCCATTGTGCATAAGGCGTGTCGGCAGCTTCTTGGTCGATGATGACGAGGCAATGTGCGACATGCTTCCCCCAGCAGAAGCGGGCATGTGTGCCCAAGCTTGCACATTAACTTCTCTAATTTTGCAGGACAAGCACAAAAGGATAAAGAGGCCTGCTCTGTACCACGCTCCGCAAGAAGAGCAGGACAGCGGACGTTCTGGCCTAGATTGTGCTTGCGGTCTCCATAGTCAGTATTCAGTTCTCCCAAAATTCAGTTCTCCCAAGTTCTCCCTCTTCGCAGGAAGTAAAACTGGACGAAGAGGCATGGTCTGGACTG